GCCCCACCCCCTCCTCGTGGCAGCGGCAACCAGCTCAGCGGCCCCCTGAGCCCCGCGTTTGGTGAGGGCTGGCCGGCCCTTGAGGAGCTGGACCTGGACACCAACGGCTTCACAGGGCCACTGCCCGCGGAGTGGGCTAAGATGGGGCGCCTCAGGAAGCTGTACCTCTTGTGAGCCTGCGTGTGCCGTACGGGGAGGGGGGAAGGAGGGCGGGGCCCCGCGGTGCTTCAACTGCAAAAGGTGGAGGCCCGCAGCGCAGCCTGCTTGTTGCAGCGGGATTCAAGCAGTCCGAGGCATCTGGCTGGGCATTATAGCGAAACAAAGGCGCTGGATGCTACGCTGCCACTCCCTTGCTTACGCTCCCCGTCGCGACAACGCCGCTTTGCCCCCGCCCCCGCCATCTCAGTGGCAACCAGCTCAGCGGGCCGCTGAGCCCTGAGCTGGGGGCGTCCTGGGCGGCCCTGGAAGACCTGCAGCTGTACCGCAATGAGTTGTCGGGGCCGCTGCCGCCAGAGTGGACCAAGATGGGGCAGCTCAAAAGGCTGTACCTCTTGTGAGCCTGCGGTTTTCTGAAACGAATCCTGGAGAAGTTGGGCGTGGGCTTGTGGGTTCGAGCTAGGCCCAAGTGCTCAGCAGTGCGCTCGCAAAAGATTGATGCAGGAGATGATGGCGGCCACTTGGTTCCAGACGCATGTGCACGTGTGCAGATCTGTGTCACCTCAGCTCAGTCGTCTGCTGCGTTTATCCCAGGTAGGCTAGCATCAGACTCTATTCACACCCCCGTCCCGTGCGCCCGTGCCTCTCCACGACCGCAGCGACAACCGCCTGTCTGGCCCGCTGCCGCCGGGGCCCTGGCCGGCGATGGAGCACCTCCAGCTGGCGGGCAACGGCTTCACCGGGCCGGTGCCGCCGGAGTGGTCCGCAATGGCGAGCCTGAAGGTCCTCAACCTTGGGTGAGCGGGATCGGGTTGGAGGGTGCGGGTGCACTTCAGGTGGTGGTGCTTGTGGGAGGGGCGTCTGGGGCCTCGCCCAACCTCTATTCATAGGGGAGGCTGAGGGGTGCCCGCAAACTTGTGATTCAAATCAGGCGCCAGTTACCCTTGCATCAAGCGAGATGCCCTCTTCAGAGAGTGGGTATTCAGAGCCCAGTGAAGGAGGCAGCTAAAATTGGGCTGGGGTGCTCTCAACAGCCGCTCAAACGTGTAACCCCGCTGCTGCCCCCCCCCTGCACCGCCTCCCGCAGCGGCAACGCGCTTGCGGGCACCCTGCCGGCAACGTCAGGCGCCCTGGGCAAGAGCCTGCAGGTGCTGAGGCTATCAGACAACCCAGGCCTGACAGGCTGCCTGCCGAGCGGCCTGGAGAGGTTCAAGGAGGATGAAGATGCCTGCAAGGGCACTGGCATCGAGTGCAACAACATATGCTGAGTGGCGCGCCAGAGTCAGCAGAGCACAGGCATGCAGGCCATTGGCTATAGCGCAATTTGATCTGCATCTATCCATGCAACCCCTAGCGGCTAAAACCCTAGCAGCTTACTATGATGCGCACGCCTCGAACGCATTACTTACCTCCGAATGGGAGGAATTTGACGAGTGATTTGCGCCGCTGGTGCATGCAGGCGTGCATGCATGAGGTCGTGTTTACTGCCGGCTGCTTGCAAGGGACCCCCTGTCACTGCCGGGGTACCTCTGTCGATGCACTCAAGCAGGCCCTCCATTGCACTCTGGCACTGGTTTTTGTGACTGCGCATCCGCAGAGCACTGGTGTACCTGGTTTGTGGCAGTGCGTTGTGCGCCCTGTATGATCTGTGTCCTGATGGGGTTGCTTCGGCTGCAGCAAAGTCTGCGGCTTGCCACACTCTGATTGGGTGCTGTTGATTCCTGATTGGGGCAGACTTGTTGTGGAGGGCTTCCGACTGGGATGCCCACAGCTGAGCCACGCTGCAAGTCAGAAGGCCCCTCTGTATGGAGGCCCTATGCATGGTGTAAGGATGTGAAGTGTGACGGCCGCCCTACCCGCGAACGGGATGCTGCAGTGTGCTTTCATGGCCGCATCTGGGCTGCGCACCACCGAGACGACCCAACATTCACAACGCCGCTACTCCCAATTGAATCTTGACAGTCATCTCAATGCATCAAATTCTGCTGGCGTTACAAGCTAGCGAGTACGGACGTGCGATGGTGCAAGCAACATCAGGCTGGCTGGGCCGGGTTGTGTCTCGTGGGTGGTGAATAGACATCAATTGCGGGGCGCACGAGCAAGGCGGGAGGAGATGCGGGTGTGCTGACAAGAGAGTGAAGTGCAAATACACATCAAGTACCTTACCGTTGTGGTCGGCCGTCACTGTCTCACCAGGGGCGCGCAGTGGCAAGTGTGCGGCAGGCAGCTCACAGGAAGAGGTATCCCTGCCAGTACCTGTTCCACCGGGACTCGAACCACAAGTTACTTGAGCATGAGGTGAGTGCAAAGATCTTCATGTGGGGTTGGTCAAACGGTATTGGTCGGACCCAGCCCAATGACGATGATGGAGGGGGCTGACTGGTGACTCTCTGCATGACTCATGGTGTCACTTCTGGCATAATCATCAAGCAAATTCCGCATGCATACGCAGTTGACCTTGCACTGCACTGTGCATGTTGCTACGCAGTTTCTAGCATCACCTAATTTCAATCGCAGTGCACGTGCAGGCAGATCGCGAGATCGCAATCAGCGAGCTTCTGGAGGAAATATGCTTGTCACACACTCGGGAGGCTGCCATTGCGGCGCAGTGCAGTAAGTATGAATATCTCGTTGCTGTTGATGCATTGCGATGTGGTCTGCCGCCCGCGCACGCACTGGCAAATGGCATGAATCGGCGCTTGCAGCCACGCCCCGTTGCCGCTGCACAAACCGTGCTGAAGCAAGACCACATGCCATGCAGGTTTGAATTTGATGCCCCGACGGAGCTAGTGGCTTGGGATTGTAACTGTGAGCAGACTCATGGGCATCGGGCAATGACGTGCCGATGATGATGAGGCGGTGCCGTTTCTGAACGCCGCGGCGAGCCCTTGGCCTGCTCCCATTCGCAATGTGCTATGCGAGCAGGCAGCCAAAATACTCATGCACAGGAAATCTTGGGGTTGCTTGCACAATCATCTCCCTCAACCTCCGCCGGGCGCGTTGCAACGAAACGCCGCCCCTCCCTGCAGCCCCCCCCCCCCAATATCGTCATGCGCGTGCCACCCCCTGCACCCCGCCGCCACCGGCACACTGTACTTGAGGTCGAACCACGCCACCCCCTGCCGCGCGCAGGCTCTATATGCACTATGAAACGCAACACCCACATAGTGGTGCCGGGCAGCCGGTTCCGCCTGCTGCAGGGGCAGGACTCGCTGGCCCTGTACCAGTTTGGGACGCGCACAGCAAAGCACCTCTTCTGCAAGTGAGCCTGATGCCGCAGCCTGGCGCAGGCAGCAGGGCAGACGGCGGTAATATTGTGCATCGCGCACCCTTGAACCCCTTGGACCTGGCGGCTGCCGGCCGCTGCTGCAACGCCGCGCAACCCCTTGTGCACAACAGCCTTTCGAAGTCACCAACCTCCTTTTCCCCTCTGTCCGCTTGTCTTACTCCTGCACCACCACCGTCCAAAATGCGTAGGGTGTGCGGCGTTTGCACCTATTACGTCCCTCGGTCAAACCCTGATTCATTTGCAGTCACCATCTTCTGCATTAAGGCAAGAGCCTGCAAGGGCGGACGCTGCCGTGATGTGTCCTGAGGATAGTCCGCCTCCAACCACCCACCACTGCCGAGTGGCGCTGGGTTGGTACTGTGGCTGCATGTGGCGTATCATGCTGCTGCAATTTACACGCCCCGCGCTGTTGCATGCTGCAGGCATCAATGTTCCAGCGCAGGAGGTCGTGTCCTCCCACAGGCTGCCCAACCAGCTGCTCGTTCTGCTTGGCCTTTACAGCAACACAGGGGAGCAAGACTCAGCCCTCCTGCCCCCCACCTGCTATCTCCCGTGCACCCCTGCCCCCGCAGCCCGGCACGGTGGCGTCGGTCGAGGTGCGCCATTTTGACGGCACCAACTGGGAGGCGGCGTACGCGGCCACAGGCATTGCGGCGTGCAGCGAGGGCGCGGCGGCGGACGGCACAGCAGCGGGGCCGTCGGGATAGTGCTGGGCGGTTTGCTCCCCCAACCATCGTGTTATTGTGCAACTGTCATAAGACAGACTCGCCTCGGCAATAGAGCGGAGTGTGAGGGGGAGGTCTCGTACGTGTGAACACCGTGCAATGCAAGTCGTAAATGAATGGCAGTCAAGCAGAGGGCTGCGGTGGAGCGAGGCCACGTGCCCCCACAGGGCAGCACAAGCCGCAAGTACGTCGGCGGCGGCACGCACATGGCAGTCTTTGTAGCGTCCGGAAACACGCGTGGCGCGCATACAGAAGGCAGCCCGGTGACACGACTGGCCTGATGCTGCACCGTGCCCTGCAGCTGCGCCCCACCCTGTGGGCGTGCACGCCACATGCAGGCAGCTGTGTCGGTTGATGGTCAATCATGGGAAGCCTCAAATTGCGCCACAAAGGGCGTGCTGGTCGACATGCCTGGGAGTGGCCAGAGTGCGCACTCCTTACAGCAGCTGCGCATGGTTGAGCCCCGGGAGAGCCAGCGAGGCGGAGATGGCTGGAGGCACGAGCCGCCTTGCCATCGCCGCGCCGCAGTCTCTACCCACCAATGCATCAGACGCTTTTTCAGTGCAAGCCTTTCGGCAAAACACGGGCGTGTGGAGAGGGACGCGGCCTGCTGTAGAGATGAGGAAGCCCGCCTTGCAAGCCAGGATGTTGGCTGCGGCATAGATGACGCCGGGAATGAAGCCGCACACCCACAGCACGCCAAGCCCCGCCGCTACTGCCTTGTGAGGCCACTCGTTCCTATCAAGTGCAGATGTGTGGGCCCTCGCGCTCCTGTTGCCCTTGAGCCCCTGGGCCGTGCAATCTCATTGGATTGTCAAAGCCATGCGCAAGGCACACAAGCCCGCAGCGCAAGATGGCTCCAAGCCGTCACAGTACACCAGGATGACGCCACCATGACATCACCATCCGTCATCACGCCTCCGACGGCCGCACGCAGTGGTGCGTGGCGATGGTGCCGACCGTCATGTGCTTGGAGCCGTCCCCGAGCTCCTTGAAGAGCCGCTGCTGCATCCACTCCGTTATGATGGTGCGGCTGCCAAAGCCGGCCCCGATTCGCAGGTCCTTCGATATGGAGACGTCGTAGGAGTGCACCCGGCTGTCGAAATCTGGGCCCAGGACGAAGAGGGTGTGGAAGGCCACGCGGCTGAAGAGGGAGACGTCCGGCGGGGGGCACAGGAACAGGCCCCACTCTGCTTGATAA